GTCTGAACTTCGTAACATCATGACACTTATGTCTTCATCTAGTTTTCTCAAAGCCAGACTGACCTGTGTACAGTAGATGGTTCTTAACACCGTCTGGTTATGCTGAATGTCTGTTTCTGTTGTTTCAATCAACTGTCGCCACATGCTTGCTAACAATAAGGGCTTGCCTAACTGATTCCATGCAAACGGTCAGGCCTTCTAAGGACCCGTTAATCTCTGTCTTAAATCTGCGCTGTATAAATGAATAAACTTGTTGTCTCACCTGCGTCACTCAGCCACTTCTCTAGCAGCGGCTTCAGCTTGCACATGTTCTTAAAGCTCAAGTTTAAAGCTTCAAAGCGAGAGATGGTGGTCTGGCTGAAGTCATTTCCATACAGCTTTCCCATGGCCACGCCCACGTCGCCCTGAAAGAGAGAGTGTTAAATGAACGCACTGGACCTCTGAGTGTTGGTGCTTCCTGTCTGCCTCCTCACCTGTGTGAATCCCAGCTTAATGCGCCGCTGTTTGAAGGTTCGAGCGAACTGCTCCAGCTCCTCCAGGTCGCTCGGTTCTTCGCTCATGTGGGCTGTCTGACTGCCGGGGTTCAGGCTGGAGGTGAGGGAGGAGGGCATGGCGCTGCTGGATGCAGAGGATGCTCCTACAGATGTTACGCCGCTGCTGCTTCCACTGGAAGCTACAGAGGCTGAGCTGCTGCTGCTGATTCCTGCGTCGCTGCTCTTCTCCCTCTATAACATTAGCATAAAAGGCATTTAGACTGATTCACGCTGATCTACTGAACAAAAGTAGGGAGTTTTAAAGCTTTAACCATCAGAAACTTCAGGAACTACAGTGAATGTTTGCCAGTCTGGCTAATTAGCATTAGCATTTATGTCTACGTGCACCAGAAGTATTCAGTCCACAAGAGATTTTTCACACTGAGTTCAGTTATAAGTGCAGAATGTATTGTGTTTTATGTAAATAAAATAAAATAACACTAAGTAGAGCAGAATAATAAAGTAAATATAAATACAGAACTGTCCCTACAGTTAGAATATATTCTGTTGGCGGAAATAAAATAGTCCAAACTATTTGCTAAATGTCTGAAACTGTCAGATTAGACGGATCTGTGAACATCACTTTTGAAGTTTTACTCAGATTCTAAATTTGGTCTGGACTTTGACTGGGCCATTCTAACACGTTTGTTGAGGGTAGTTGAACCTTGTGTTTTACAGCCTCTAACAGGTTTTCCTTCAGGACTGTCCTGGATTTAGCTCAATCGATCTTCCTATTTACTCCAAGCAACCTCTCTGTCTCCTTTAAAACTTTCCTTTTTGATAAATTTTATAGTTCGAGTGGCTCAGGTTATCCTGAGCTATCTCTATAGTTATGCTGCTATAGGCTTAGACTGCTGGAGGACATAGAGACCCATATTTCATCATTCTGCTTCATTCTATCTCTATTCTCCCACTCTGCAGAATCTGTTAGTTCATTCTCTAATGTTCTGCTCTCTCTTTATGCTTTTTCTCACAGTAGTGTACTCCTGTTTCTGTGGATTGTTTTTAATGGTAATACGTAGCTGAATACAAACACATGCCTTTTCCATATCTGTAAATGAAGTTATGAGCTACTTCGAGTTTGTCTGTTACATAAGAATTCAATTCAATATATCAGCTCAATCAAATTTCAGGTTGTTTATTCGCAATAAATGTTTTTTTTTCTTGAAGGTGATGTCCTAAAGAAACCCCACACAGTGCAAAAATAAAACAAAAGTCTAGAAGATGAAACTCCACCTGGGTTTCATTAAGGTTTCTGTTTGCTACCTGTGCTTGGAGTCCCATGCGAGGCGGGCTTGTGAGAAGTCCTCCTGCGCTCTGCTGAGGTAGCTGGATCAGATTTGCTGTGGAGAGCAAACCTGGAAAAGTAGGAGAAACCAAATAAGAACAAAAGAGCCCATCGGATCAGTGAGGCAGATAAAACTGGAAACACGGAATAAACCGAATCCTGGAACCTCTTAGAAGAGGGGTCTCAAACTTCAGTCATCAAAGGAAGATGCCCTAAAACATTTAGATCTGCTTTAACACATCTGGATAAAATAACTGGGATTTTAGAAACTTTTAGAAACTAGCAGGTTGGACCAGGGATGCATGTAAAAGATGCAGGACAGCAACCGTTGATGGCTGAAGGCAGAGAACCTGTTCTTAGATAAGGGTTGTCTCCTCACCCTGCTGTGGCTGCTGGGCCTGTGCAGGCTGCGACAGGAGGAACTGGGCCGGGGACTGGAGGGGATGACCCGGCATGAGAACCAGCTGCTGGAGCTGCAGCAGCTGCTGGATGTCCTGCAGCACAAACATGTTTCAGCTGGGGCAGCAGAGGATGTAACGGAGCAGACAGGTGTTAATGCGGCTAGTACCTGCGCGGTGAGCTGGATGGGCTGCGACAGGGCCAGCTGTGGAGGCGGAGCCTGGACCGGCTGCTCCTGTTTGCTCGGCTGCTGCTGCTGCTGTTGTTGCTGCTGCTGATTGGCCTGTTGCTGCGCGGCGGCGTGGGCGGCGGCGTGAGCGGCATTCGATTGCTGAACGGCCGCCGCCAGGAGTTGAGCCTGCGCCTGCTGGAGGAGCAGCTGCTGCTGGGCGGGGAGGAGGGCCGCGAGCTGGGGAGAGGGGAGAAAATCAAACATTTGTGAATTTTCACATCTTTTAAAAAACCTAAATAAAAACATAAAGGTAACGTTTGCTTCATCTTTACTGCTTCTAACCCAGGCGGTGTGTTTTCTCACCCCTGCGAGCTGACTGCCTGCCAGCATCAGCTGTGTGTGGTGATGCTGAGCCTGCTGCTGCTGCTGCTGCTGGGAGGGGGGAGCAGGGGCGGCCGCCGGGCTGTGTGTTATCTCTGAGCTTTCATCGCTCTTTACCTGAAAGAAAAGACAAACTGCCCTTCAGAAAGAGTCCAGATCAGACTTTCTTTGATGCTTTGCTGTTGCTCCACCTCAGCCGAGGCTTTTCTAAGCTCGCAGTGATGGTGGGAGTGTTTAACACAATCCTGCAGACGGCCGACTCTGGATGAAGGGCTGAAAATCACAAGGTTGTCTACAAAATGTCTGATGCTGCATCTTTAGCGCACCCAGAACCCGTAGGAACATCTAACCAGCTCATTGAGAAGGAAGATAAAAATAAGGGGACGATTGTAAGTGTGGTAATTTAACCACACAATATTTTTATTTGCTTTCCGTTACTAGTTTAAAAAACGGCTCATTATAGTCAGAAAACCATCTGTTCAACTGAGATTATCAGTTAGAATAGAAAGATTCAGATTGCAGCAGGATGAGTCAATCGTTCCTGAAGCTGCTGACCTCTGACCTCCTGCTGCAACCTCCCGTCCATCCAGGCTGCACTCTATCTACACCTGTCAATCACCATCTTCTTTTCCTGTTGGTGCTTCTTTCTTCAAGGTCTTTTATGATTAAAACTATAAACAAAATGCATCTAATCATGAGGGAAATGATCGAAAATAAATAATAAATATAAGTGCAAAAGGAAAACAGCAATTTTCGGGTTAATAAAAGGCAAACAGCAGACTTTGTGACCTAAAGAGTTGACGCATATATGAGTTATTTTAAATGATTCCTCAGGCCAACAGACGGCGCTTGGTACTATCAATGCTACGAGCGGGGCTCCCTTCTTGAAATGCATCCAATGTAAGTTGGGAGAAGACACATCGTCATTGGGAGTGTTAGCTTAGTGGTTAGAGAGTGCACTTGTGCTCTGAGAAGGTTGCAAGTATCCAGTTGATTCCCACAGCCTCCACTCTGGGTCTCTGAGCAAGACCCTTAACCCCACACAGCTCCCCGGGTGCCACACAATGGCAATCCACTGCTTCCCAAGGGGAGGGGTCAATTCAGAGAGTTAATTTCTCCATTGTGAAATCAATAAAGTTTTATTTCTCATGTGACCTGGAAGAACGTATCGCATTGCGGCCGCAGGCTCTTATATAGTCATGGAGGTAATTCTTATGCTCTACTATTTTTCCACCTGCTCTACTACTGGTCATGGATGTGGCAAGGAAATAGTTTTCACTTTCTGAGAGGCTTAAAAGAGAACATGTGAAAGGGATTGTGCACGAGGAGAAACCAGAGTCGAGTTTTTTCGTTGGTGCAGCCTGAAAGAAGAAGGTGGATGTTAAACCGATTCTGTCTTCTAAACTTTATTAATAGACTGGTAAG